AACACACCGCGGCCGGTGGGGAGGCTCAACAGCAGCTACGCGTCGGAGGAAGCGGCACGCGTGCGGCCGCCTCCTCCGTCGGCACCGCCGGCGTCACGCTTCTCAATCGACGTGCCGGCAAGCGCTCGCCACGGCGATGCAACGCCGGCGGACGTAGAAGCGCGATGACGATGGACCTGCAGCGGCTGATCAACGAGGTGCACGCGAGGCCCGCGATTTGGGACCAGAAGAATGTCAACTATCACAATCGCGATGTCATACTGAAGATGTGGCGGGAGATCGCGAGGGCATGCGAGGTGTCGAGTGAGTATAAGGATCTCCGACCTGGAACGCCCGGATCGACGAACGATGCTCTTCCTCTTCACCCCCGCTCAACGTATTTCTCGTCCCTGTACTTCCCTGTAATATATATTTTGCGTGTACGTGTTGCCACGCACGTGTGCGTTGGTTGCTGGTCGGCGAGATTGGTTGGCCGCTCGATTGGGTGGGTGGGATACGCTGGATATGTCGATTGGTTCGTACAATGTTCATATGATTGTTGAGCTTCGCGACCCTGAGGTCGTTCGAGATATCTCGCTGTGCGTAATACGAATCAAAAGACGAAGGCTGAGACGAGACGGAGGAGGAAATAGAGAAAGAGAAGGAGAGGCGAAGTCGAGTAAAGGCGAAGGATCGAACCGGGTCGCCGCGATCGCGGACCCGGGCCGGGCGGCCACCAAACGCGAGCGCGGACCGCTCGCTGGAACCACGCTCGTCTCTGGAAGGTCGATAGCTCGCGAAAGGAGAGGCCGGCCAAAGAGATAGACTGCTAGTTCACGCGGATCTCCGCCAGGTTGCACGTCGATACCGCGCGACGGACTCTGGCACGGATTACCTTTTTTTTCCTTTTTTTTTCGCGAAGATGTATGTACGTACATGTATACGTACAACGCGATTGCTCGCGGTAGCACGTGCTCGCGGAATGCAAACATGTCTGTCATGACGAGTGAAAGTAATGCCGATTGTAGGATAATACTCCGGGGAAGAATGCAGGTGCTTCTTTTATGAAGCACGCGCGTCGTGAGAGTAGTTTGTAAATTAAAGTAGCTTAGATATGCCGAAATAATAAGGAAATGGCTATGAGTAAATCGAATTCGATAGATCATAAATACTTATTATTTTAATTAGAATTACGACATAAAAACGTAGCGATTTTAGTTACATATGTATATACTTATGATTTTTGCGTATATATCTGATTTTCTAACATCTCATCACTGAACTAAAGAGTTTAACGAGTGGCAGCTAAATTGTGGCAGAAAAGAAATATTGAGGATAGTTTTCGGAGCAGGTAGTATCCAAGCAGAACAAAAAGTCGTAATGACATTAAAATGGCTCCAAAATGATTATTAAGAGTTACTTTTTTCAGTCATTTTGACATTATCGTGACCTGTTGTTTTGCTTAAGTAGTCATACGTTCATTATCGATCGCTCTTTCTAAGGCCCGGTTGCACATTGGTCAACGTTGTTTCGACTTTGAACAAGGCTTAAAACTTTCTCTCTCTCTGTCTCTCTTGCGCTTTAAAACGAGACAGACAGAGTTTTAAGTCTTGCTTTATTAAAGTCAAAGTAACGTCGGTGCAACCGGGCCTAAATCATATAAAGACGTGATCATCGCTCTGTTCCAGCTGATGTCGCCAAATCCAAATGGAAACACCTACGCGACAACTTTCGAAACGAGCTAAAAAAGACCTACCGGGGTAAGTGCGACGGTATCGGCGGCACCGAGCACGACTCTAAGTGGGTCTGGTTCAAGAGCCTATTCTTCCTGCGGGACCAAATGAACTCAAGGGTGATCGGCTGCGCCCTGTCACAAAACTGCATTGGTACAGTCGGGATGCGTTCCTCGCCGGATGGCACGCAGATCGAACCGCAGATTGACATTCTTGAGGGCCACGAGGAGACTCAGTTCGACGACTTGGACGGTGACTCTTGCCAGTCATTGCTATCCGATGACGGTCTGCATCAGGTGATGCCGCCGCCAAAGATGAACAAGATAATCAGTCGGAAACGAGCGCTAATGGACGCGATCGAAAACGATTACGGCGTGGAAGTGGACCGAAAGCGATATGAATCACTGCAGAAGAGACTGGCGATCGGTCCTGAGGACGAGGACGACACCTACCACTTCCTCATGAGCGTGCGAAATCCTCTGAGAAGCCTGCCACTCGACAGGCAGATGTTTGTTCGTCTCAAGATCCAGGAGTTGGTCTACAACGAAATCAACTCGCAAAATCAACAGCAGCAGCAGACCGCAAGTCGCGGAATCTACGACGCTTCCTCACAGGGCCAAGACGTGAAACCCCCGCGCGCCGGTAACGGCGGCAATGGCGTCGTCGTCGGTGACGTCAGCGACATGGCGAATCCGGCGTCATTGCTACAGAACTGCACGGCCGAAGGCTCCGGCGATGATGCCTTCTTCGGCTGACGGGAGCCCGTTTGCTGTTTAATTCGCTAATAGGACGTAAGAATTATAATTTTAATAGAAAATAAACGATGGTATTTTTTCAGTAACCTTCGCACGATCTTTGCGCGCTTTTCTCTTTCCACCCCACATTATGATATCCCATTTCCAATTACTTTTAATTCGTATAGAGGAGTTTTCAATTTGAATCTCTCTAGCCGTACAGTGAAATTTTTTCGTCAATTTGGAAAATTGACTGAAAATATGGCGATAGAGTTTTATAATTTTACATTACTCGTAATTTTTTTTAACGTAATTATTCGCGTGGAGTGTTTCAGACATTCTACATTTTAATTTTTATTGTCCTCTTTAATGATTTACAATTAAATAAAAACTAATAATATTCTATACATTCTTTAGATAAAAATAAATGCAAATTTTTTTTTAATTATGACACAATTTGAGCTAAATATAATGTGTATAAATAACATTTATATACTTAGCGAATTTATAAGACTGGAGTGCCTTGAATAAACCCCATGCGAGTAATGAAGGGTTAGAAACAATGCTTCACATCCTAAGCGAAAGGAATTGTTTCTCAATAAATGCAAGTATTGCGTTTAATATCACGTTAAAATAATCGAAGAAAAGTTTTATAATTCACCATACACCATATCGAAATTTCCGCAAAACGAGTACGGCAGGCATGTTCATAAAAGTGAATAAATATCGCTCGACGTGCATATTTTCACGTCGCGGGAATGATACTTAAAATATCCTCACCTTTGTCGTCGGCTGGGTAAGTCTTTTAATTAATGAAGCACCAGCCGCCGGTACAATTAGTGTTATTAGCTCCCGCGTGGCTCACCTATCTACGTCACAGATAGAAACCTAATTATATTCTGCCGTGATAATTGATTTCTCGGTTCGCGTATTGCCGCATTTTTCACTCTTCGTGATTAAAAGACGGGTATCAGAGCACCTCACGCTATACTGACATTGATCCACACGCAGTGATCAGACTAAGAGAATGCAATGAGAGGATACGATGCCCTAATCGAGGGAAAACAATCTGAAAAAAGGCACGGAATTGACCAATTTATCAATGTCGGTATACTTCATGTTCGTTTACTCTTTATTATTCCAAATGGTCGTGCGTGAGTAGGCAATGATATATCTAAATTCATTTGTATACTCTAAACTACCTAACGAACTTTCTTCCGCACTTAAATAATAATAAATGTAAGATATTTTAATCTCAAATTGATTATAAATTCAAGTTTTTCGTTTCCAGCAATTAGAGCAAGCAATCTTATTGCAGAATTATACTTAATACTATTATAAATATTTACATTAAACAGAATTATATTGTATTATTATAAATTGTTATATTATTATACAAAATTATTGAATATTATATATTTTAAATCATTGTATTAATATATTATTAAACAGACTTATTTTATATTATTATAAACTACACTGAAAAAATGCATGTAATTTTACATGGAAATTACATGTCTATGACCGGAAAATTACCTAAATATGATCGGAAATTTACAAATATCATAAATTATTTAATATCATTATAAATTTCTTTAAGGTATTTGTGACAGTCACAGTTTCAGCTTGCTCATGTGTGAATTCAGTCTCGCGTATGTGTTAATGAGCCATAATTATAAGATATAATTTAATAAGTGATTTTCACGCATTTCATTAATAAATATATCCTTATATATAGCATATACGTATATAAGGATATATTTATTAATGAAATGAATAAATAATACATTACAAATATAATATCCAGGGAACATGTTAACCTATTTATGTCAGAGAACAATTTTGTACACGTTATGCGAGACTGGTCTTCTCTTTTCATGAATTCTAGCTGTTTCGACGAGTTTTCTGAAACCGACTAATGAGGTACGGAACGTGAATAGAAGTATCACACCTGCATCATTATGACACTTCTCGAGGATTGTAAAACCCCTAACAGCGCTGAAAAGACCATATTTCTCTCGCAAATCTCTACTTGTTAATTTAAATGCTTTTTTGAATAATTAAAACTGAAATTAACGTTTTTAAAACCTCAATATACGAATTAGTTTCAATACGTGCTTTCATAAAAATTATATCTTTTATTTAATATTGAAATATATAAAGAAATTCCATATTTTATAAAATGACAGACATATATACGACAAAATTATTATGGCTAGATTTTTATATTTCGATAAGAAATTTATTTAAAAACAGAATGATCATGTTTTTTTTGAAATAACGTTGATGGATAACGTTACATCATATACGTTTTAAAAATTAATGATACACTGTTCTTTATAATATATTTTTTCGCTACGCTCGAGAGAAAACTGATATGGGTAAAATACGAGGGCGTGTAGACACGATTACTCCACCCTATGCGTTACAAGTGTAATAGAAAAACAGAGTTATTTTGCTCGAGCTGTGTTGATGGGTGGACATCGATCATTTAATGGTCACGACTGCTGGGACAGCGCATATCGATCATATTTTCAAAAAAAGAAACTCACTTTATCACCACGATGATTAAGTGTAATAAGAGATAGCGTTATTTTATATATATATATTACAATTTTAAAAAAATTTTAGTGAGAAACGATACAAACAAAAATGTGTAGTAGGGATTATTAAGAGGATATTTTTTTAGATGCACAAGTTTTAGAAATTTTAGAAGAATGAGGAGTTTAAAAATATCAAAAAATGTATTTTATTGTCACGGATGTTTTATCATTTGCCATAACAATGATTAAGTCTGATAGGATAACGTTGTTTTATATACATTTACTAAATTTAGTTAAAATATATAAAATGAATTTAGTTAATGTATATAAAATAATATTATCCTGTGAAATTTAATCATCGTGGCAAGTAATAAAATATTCATAATGATAAAATATATTTATCGATGTATCTTTTATAAACTTTTCATTTTTTAAATTTCTAAAATTTCAAAATTTCAAAAAATATCTTTAAAAAATTTTTAATAAAAAAACTTTTATTAGAAATTAATAAAATAGTGCACCAAAATATGTTATAGAGATTATTAAGGGGATATATTATACTTTAGATACACCAAATTTTAGAAATTTGAGGAAGAAAAATGAGGTGTTTATTATCGAAAAATATATTTTATTGTTACGGATCTATACTATTTCTCAAATTTTACGATTCTTTCTCTAAAAATCTCTCCCTGAGTTCACAGAGATTTTGTAACAAGCCGATACATCGTCGTCGATTCAATTTACGTAAATTACACAACTCGATTAACGGCGATACTTCATCGAATCGCGTTACGTACCGACGTTGCCGAGCTAATGGACAGTTATTATGTCGGACTATCGTCCGACCGGCGAATAATGGCCGATGGATATTGCTGCGGATGGGCGATATGGAAGCGCTAATTTTGTTGTCGCGTCGAGTCTACGCTACGTCGAAATGCAAGGCGCATATGTGACTCCCTGACCACTGGTTGCGTATACGCACGCACGCATGCATTGTCCCCGTGTATCACGGCGTTCGTATCGGCAAAAGCCTTCTCTAAAAGGCTATCGAGTGTGCACCGACCCGACATTCATCACTTTTACTATGCTTCTGATATATCGAGTGGTTGATTAATCATTGATCCCTGAAAAAATTTATGTTTGCGTTCCGCTCCGTGCGGAATTTCGCCTTTTTTTTTACAAAAACACTTTGACAAACGGCACACGGAAAGAACGATTTTGCTAAAGTATCTAAAAATTTAGGTAGATGCAGATAATTGAAAATAATTTTTTGTTAGACTATTAAAGTAATTATATATGTATAAGTAAAATGCCTAAGTAAGTCTCCACGATTAATGCATAAGTAATATATTTATAAGGTGGTAAAATATAATTTGCAAACAATTAATTGTATTTATTAACCAAACAATTATATTTATTAAGATAACTACAAACGTTTCCGCGATTTTAGATTTTAATCCTTCTCAGCGAAGAAGTGAAGTACAAACTATGATAAAAACTAAGTATTTTTAATAAAATAATTATGTAGGAAACACTCGAGCATAAAAAGCAACGCTGTAAAAAGTTTCGACATTCTAGCAATCAGCTTGAACATCCTACGTAACTATGTTGATGATTTAACAAAATTGATTTTAGATCTACACGGAAAGAACGATTTTGCTGAAGTATTTAAAATTTTAGTATAAATCTGAAAATAATTTTGTTGGATCAAAATAATTATGTAAGAAACTCAAGCATGATGAACAATGTTATAAAAAATTTTGATATTCTAGCAACTAGCTTAAGCGACCTACAAAGTTATTTTAAATGGTCCAATAAAATATTATCAGATTTGTATCTAAAGTTTTACTTCACATTGATACTTCAACAAAATTATGCACGAATAATGTTTCTACTTCGAATGTGGAAAAGCAATCTGACCGATAACGAAAGAGAGAGGAGCATCCTTCTGAAATTCTCGAGAAGAACTCGGAAGAGAGAAAAGTTAATCTTTCTAACTTTAAAAATAAATTCCCTCGAGTTCTTCCTGAAAAGTGAAGTAGACCTCGTTGGTGGTGATCGTTCAATCTGCCGCCAAGTGTTTTTACTTGAATGCTATACACGAACATCGCGATAATTGTACCACAAACTTTCCAACTTGTCGGAGAGCCGGAAAGGTGTATATTTTAGCGTAACAGCGGCACGACGGAACGACGGCTTCATCAAGGGAATTGTCGCATCCATTATAGGCGCAGCCTCTGTATTGACTAGAATCGTACGATATACCTCGATGCACCGTGACTGTTATAAGCTATATAACAACTTGATGCCACTGACACCGCACGCAAGTCCGCTGAATACAACGTATTGTGCAACGCCCCGTTCCGTCCTGCTCGCGCGAGCCGTCCCGATAACGTCGTTCCTGAGTGAGTTTGCACTAGTTTCTGAGGTGGTTGCACCGCAACACTGCCGGTTATTGAACATCGAAGCGACGCGCGCTATGAGTTTAATTAAACCAGGTTATTAAGGGA